GTTCAAAGTTTTGCCCAGAATCGCAATTTGGCCAGACGAGCGTTTTTTTCGTCGAAGGATGTGATATTCGTGTTCAGGGGGTCGAAATCTCCCATGAACGAATTTCTAAAACCGAATTGTCGGATGGGTAACCTGTTCAGAGAGGGCAGATATGACCAAATCCATACTAGATCGAGTACGTCGTATACTTGATGTACTTGATCTACTTGCCCTGCTGGGCCGTAAATTCGGAAGAATTTCGAAAATTAGAGTTGAAGCTCTTTAGCGAAGCAAAAATTTTCGCGCCAACCGGATGCAAACCCGCATGCGTTTGACTTGAAAGCGAGACCATTACCACGAGGCCACGGTGGCACTGCCGAGGCATCGATCAGCAGCGCTTACGAGCCAAAACTGGCTTTTCGCAAACTTTGACCACCCAGATCTCGTCTGGGAGGTCCCCGTAGCACTTTTAATCTGCATATTCGTAATCAGCATTCGAGGCTCTATCGATGTACCTAGGTCTCCATTCAAAGTTCCATGGGAAGTTCAAACCATTCCCTTGTCAGAACACCAGCGGCCAGCGCTCATTGATTCCCGTCTGCGGCTGCGTTTGCGTCTCTGGCCGGAGTGCTGTTGCAATTTCAATCGCGTCGACGCGCTTTACACCGCGTCGGCGCCCTTTTTCCGGAAGTCTGAACGTTGGCTCTCCCTACTCGCTAGAAAACGTGCTCAGAAGACCAGTGACACAAAATAGGTCCAACAAGTTACTGTGAAGTGAAGAGAAATCGTTCCTAATACTCTGATAGCTCTGATACTGAGTGCGCAACGTGGGATCACTGTAGTAAAATAAAAGTTTTTTGGAAGAATGCAATAGTGATTGATTTCAGAACGTTACATCCAATGGAGGAGGAGCGAATAAGAGGCGGTCCTCGACGCATGAGAAAGGTGGGCGCTCAAACGCAGAAGTTGCACTAGTTGCAAGACGGAGCAGCAGTTCAAGCCTTTGTCTAGACCTCCCAGCTGGGTGAGGAATTAGCCTTTAATTTTCCTACCAGGTCTTCGCTAGGAAAATTAAGGGCTAATTCCTCATTCAGCTGGGAGGTTTGGCCGAGTCCTTCCACCAATGACGCTTTAACCGCAGCTTCCGTCCAAGCCAGCGTATCTAGTGCCTGGGAGGACTTCTGCAACATTTCATTTTCAATTTCTCTGGTAACTGTTCTCTCCACGTCAAGTTTTCAGTTGATCTCTATCACTGGCTGTTATCGGTACATCGTGAACCTAAAGATCGAAAATCGGCTGAAATAAGTAATAAGGAATATCTGAATCCTATGGACATAATGCCGCAGGCGTTCTTCTTCAGTTTTTACAGGGTGATTTTTTGACTGCATTGATTGCCTTTTTCTCCGTTTACTTTATGCTGTTCCCAAAAGGTTGTTGTCTATTTTGTAGAGTCATCGCCTTGAATGGACGAATCTGGACGAAATGCCGCTCAACCAGTTTTCATTGTCCTATATCTTCATTATAAATAATGTGGTTACAGCAATGGTTGAGCAGAGGTAAATCTCTTTGAACTTCCAGAGTGTAGAGAACTTCTTCTTCCATCATTTCGCTTTCCTCTTTCTTCTTTCCTTTATAAGGCAGCATTCAGACTTCGCGAAGACGCGCGTCAACGCGCTGGAGCGCACTGTTACGCTCGTCAGCAGACGGAAATCGATAAGCGCTGGCCGCTCGTGTTTTGAGAGAGTATAGGATGTCAGCAGAGCAGGCTGTCTCGCACAATCGGAAACACCCATTCTTCTACGCTCCTCCAAGTACAATTCATACCAGACTACGTGGTTGGAGAACCCATACTCTCCTGTTCCACCACAGCTCTCACAAGCGACCGGTCCCAGTCGATTCCAGTCTGTGGCTCGCGTTATAGCGCGTCGACGCGCGTCATCGCGAAGTCAAATGCTGCTTAAGAGAACGTTTATCCGAAATTTAAGAGTTGTATCTTCGGCCGCGGACTCATCTAGAAAATTCATCACACCACATTTACATCAACTAGTACATGTGAAAAAAGTGGCAATTGATGGAAAATTATTGTGGCATATCGAGATGGACGAAAAAGGTCTTCTGCCAGAGAAAGGAATTGTGAGTGATCCATTCAGTTTGTTTTCGTTTGGAGACACATTATAGAATAAAAAAAAGGGCGGAGATATACAATCATTGCGCTTACTGCAAGAATCATCCTGCCCAAACGCGCATCTCGGCCTCCTCGCCAGAAATCCTCGAACAGAGCGAGCCCTACCGATGTGCCTTCATTGTTGTTGCGCCCACCCCCTCACAGCAAAGGGACGCCAGAGCGAGCTAGAGAGGCGCTATGGCCGGGTGCCTCTGCTCACTTTGCCCTCCCCAGAGTTTGCCTTTTGAGAAAATCTTTGCCGTTGATCAATCCTTTTTGGGATGTGGCGCGTCCTACTTTCATTCAGATCATATTACTGAGTCGTATGAGCCCTAAACAATGATTTGCGAGGCCGTCGTTTTCTCAAAGTCTGCCCACTATGTTATAAACAGGATAAAACATTATGCCGTGTGTGCCAAAATCGAGCCTTCCCTAAATCAGAACACTATTTCAGGCTGACATAGCGTACAATGGAAATGTTGAAAATGTACGTTTTGTGGTGGCGCTGTGCTCGGTGTGTCTTATCAAGGAGATTGCACTAGTATATAAAACACTGAACGCACCCAACGATCAAAAGAAGCGTGCCAGTGCACCGGCATCGTTTGTAAGTTATTTGGAAATCGTTAAAATTTTGAGCTCTCGGAGCTGTTTTTCAAGATCCGCTTCGCAAGAGCGGCCGGCGAAGGCGCCTATGCAGTCGTTTCTTTCATTGGCCCGACCCACCTTTATTGGCGCCGCCCACTACTGTCAATCAGAAATCAGCTGGGATCACTAGCGGCGACCACATCGTCCAAAACACCACTGCGGTGACCTCGTCCGATCACACTGTGCTAGCCCACTACTCGTACGAAAGCGCTAGTTAGGAGTTTTATTTGGGACGCTGGCAACTGCTTCTCCCGTTTCTTCATTGTTAGCTTTCTTGGCATCTTGGAAACCCTAATTGAGCCCAATTACATAGAATATCTCATCACTGAATTAAGCAGCGTTCAGACTTTGCGACGGCAGCGCTTCGGTCGCGCATTCAGCGCAATCAATGCCGTGGGAAGCATACGCATTGATCCGTCGAACGCGTAACTTGAGAGCTGCCGTCGCGAAGTCTGAACGCTGCCTTAGCCTTTGAGTCAGTATGACGAATTGAATTTAGGCAGATCGCTCACCGTTGTCGGTGCATTCGCATTTGGCAGCGCAGACACGTGCATCGATGACGTGGGATGTCCGTGTGCTGGACATGATGCGCGATTTCGAGAAGAATCGAAGCAGAAGTACTACCAAGAAGAGAGGCGATGTAAGTTGGTGTCTAATAATACTGTCTCGGAGCATAGCTTCCTACTAGACTACAGATAAATTTCCGGACAGTTCGGCGACGGGGGGGGGCATTTTACACTCTTTACGTCTCATCAGCCGTGTCGTCCTGGGGAATTATTTTATGAGCTAACAAGAGTTAACAGATTTCACCGTGGTGACTCGACGAGCTTGCTCCAGCTTCACAAGAGTTCACAGGTTTGAGTGTAACTTGTGAACCGGAACTAATGATGCAGCTTGCAAAATGCGCCCCTCCCCGTCACCGAACAGCGCCGAATTTCCTTTTCGTTGAAGGGGTCGCTGTCCTGATCTTTCCATGTCCGCGATATACTGTAAACATCTGGAACTGCGAAAACGACCCACTACCCCCCCCCCCCCCCCCCCCCCCCCCCCCCCCCCCC